TAAATTGCCGTTCAGGATCTGGAATAGACAAGACAGGAGCAGAGATAAAACGGGACTTTAATTTATCAAAGGCCTCCTGAGCATCAGCTTTCCACTTGAACGGTACCTTAGGAGAGGTGAGTGCCGTTAAGGGTGCAGCAATCTGACCAAAATTCCTGATGAATCGCCGATAAAAGTTGGCAAACCCCAGGAATCGCTGCAGAGCCTTACGCGAGTCAGGAGTTGGCCACTCGGCAACAGCCCTTACCTTACAGGGGTCTGCCTGGATCTCTCCTGCCGAAATTATGAATCCTAGGAAGGGAACCGACTGGGCGTGGAATACGCACTTCTCCGCTTTAACATAGAGCTGGTTCTCCAGCAGCCGTTGTAGCACCTGGCGAACATGTTGAGTGTGTACCTGTGGGGATGGGGAAAATATCAAAATATCATCAAGGTACACAAAGACAAAGCGGTTAACCATGTCTCTCAACACATCATTGACCAGGGCCTGGAAGACCGCCGGGGCATTGGTCAGACCGAATGGTAGGACCCGGTACTCAAAGTGTCCCGTAGGGGTGTTAAAGGCGGTCTTCCACTCATCCCCCTCACGTATGCGGATCAGATGGTAGGCATTCCGGAGGTCAAGTTTGGTAAAGACCTTGGCTCCTTGCAATAACTCAAAGGCAGACGACATGAGAGGTAAGGGGTACCTGTTCTTGATAGTGATGTCGTTAAGCCCTCGATAATCGATACAAGGACGCAAGGAGCCATCCTTCTTTTTGACAAAGAAGAACCCAGCGCCTGCCGGGGAAGAGGAGGGTCGGATGAGTTCAGCTTTAAGAGATTCGTTAATGTAACGGTCCATGGCCTCTCTCTCAGGACCAGAAAGGGAAAATAATCGACCCTTCGGCGGAGAAGTGCCTGGGAGGAGTTCAATGGCGCAATCATAAGGACGATGGGGAGGCAAGGAGGTGGCCCGAGACTTGCTAAACACCTGACGCAGATCATGGTACTCCGCCGGAACCCCAGCCAGATCAGCCGACTCCACCTGCGGGACAGGACACAAAGAAACAGGAAAAGAGGCAGGACCCAAACACGTAGCAAGACAACACTGATTCCATGACAAAATTGAATTATTCAACCAATCAACGTGTGGGCCATGCTGCAGTAGCCATGGATGCCCTAAAACTATGGGGGCACTTGGGGAGTCAAGGAGGAGCAGCGTGGTGACCTCACGGTGATTGCCTGAAACAATGAGTGTGATAGGAGGGGTGCTATGGGTAACAGTGGTAATAAGAGTGCCATTAAGAGAACGGGCAGGGATAGGGTCAGAAAGAGCAAGAGCAGGGATCCCCCACGAAGTGGCCAAGGAACGATCCATGAAGTTACCCTCAGCTCCAGAATCGATCAAGGCCGAACAGGAGTTAGAAAGATCCCCAAACTGGACAGAGACAGGAATAACAGTACGAGAAGGGGAGGAATGCAAAAAAGGAGTAGCGCTCACCAGGATCCCCCTCTTCACTGGCGAGCTGTGCCTTTTAAAGGACAGGTGGCTGCGAAATGTCCTGGCTTGCCACAGTACAGACACAAGCCCTTAGCGAGGCGATGCTGCTTCTCCTGGGGGGTGAGCCGGAGGCGTCCCACCTGCATAGGCTCTGGACCAGCGGAAGCGGAGTTGGAGGCATCAGAGACGGGAAAGGTGTCCTCAGTCCTCCAGGGTGAGCGGGGTGCAGAGCGTTGATGGCGGCGGCGTAGACGTCCCTCCACCCGTAGAGCCATGTTGATCAGGTCGTCGAAGTCATGAGGCAGATCGATGGTGGCTAACTCGTCCTGAATCACCTCCTCCAGTCCTGCGCGGAACATGGATCTGCAGGCCGCCTGGTTCCAGTCACAAGACGCTGCTAGCGTCTTGAATTGGATGGCGTACTCAGTCACTGAACGCCCTGCCTGTCGCAAACGGGCCAGCTGATCAGCAGCCTCCTGGCCCCGAGCGGATCGGTCAAACAGTTTTATCATTTCCTGTCTGAACTCATCAAAAGAAGTGCAACAAGGAGCTTGAGTGTCCCAAACTGAAATCCCCCAGTCACGAGCCTTACCAGTGAGAAGCGTCAGGACAAAGGCCACCTTAGTTTCTTCCGTGGCATAGGTGCGTGGCTGTAGCGCGAAAACCACTGAACACTGGGATAGGAAGGCTCTGCAGGAATTCGGATCTCCATCATAGGGTGGCGGGATATTGCAGCGAGGCTCATGTTGATAGTGAGGACCAGGAGCCGCTTGCCCTCCCTGGGCAACGTCATGCTGCAGCTCTTGTATTCTTGCTGTCAACTCAGCTACCTGATTGGCCAGGAAGTCCACCTCTCGTGAAGTGTTGGTCAGCCTGACCTCATGCTGCCCCAGCAACGCTCCCTGCTGTGTAACGGCGGTTCGGACGGAATCTGAGCCTGCTGTGTCCATAGCGGCTAGATCGTTCTGTCAGGGTTCTTAAAGAGACACAAATGCAGGCTTGAGAGAATCAGGGGAATTTATTTTCAATATCCAAACAAAATATCTTTCTAGAAAAGGATCCAAAAAATCCAGCCAGGAGGGAAAAAGCGGAACAAAAAGGTATCTGGGCTGTCTGCAACTGACAACAGTCCTGGCACAAATATTTCCGGTGGAGGTCGTCCCCTTCGTGAACCTCAGACAAGAAAAAACAAAACAAAACAGCCGGAATAAAGTCACACAAAAATAACAGAAATTCAGTTGCCTTCTCAACTATACCCGGCAGGGGGCGCTCGATGAGGCGGACGTGTGGGGGATGCTGAGCAGCGAGTGAGAGAGAGAGGAAGCCGGTGTTTTGGAGAAGGCCGGCGGGCTCCGAGAGCGAGAGGAAGTCCGGTCTGGAATAGAAGGAGATGAGGAAAAAAGACCCAACACTGGATGTAAGGACCTGGCGTTGCAGCGACACGGAAATCCCACTGGATAGCGCAGAGAGAGAGAGGAAGAGAGAGAACAAGACAGGACAGGACACGACACGAGTGGCTGAGCGTAAGCGCACTCGCAAATAACGATCTAGCACAAGACAACACACACACGGGGAATAAATAGAGCAGAAGGAGAGCTACTCATGGACTGCAGGTGAGTGGAATCAATTATGTAAATAGAAAGATTGGGTAACAAGGGGGAGGGATGCACGAGGTGACAGATCAAAACAACATTCACGTGCGCTCGTGACATGTAAACAAACATACACAAGAAGACAGCGTGATCAGACTGGGGATGTGACAAAAGCATATTAATGCCACAATGATGAGCCAAGATGAGTCTGAGCCAAGTTTAAAACAGCCAGCAATGTTGAGGCTAAGTTTTGCCCCCTAAATTTTTTCTTCAAATAATTTGTTTTGTTGGTCCCTGAGCAAATGTTTCTTTGTTTCTGTTTAATGTTATTGTAAACGTACACTGAAAACATTTTAGATCTTTAAGTTCAGTTTATGAAAAATGGGATATATATATATATATATATATATATATATATATATATATATATATATATATATATATATATACACACACACACACAAATATATCTATTTGCAGGGCTCGAAATTAACCTTTTTGCTTGGTAGCACCAGTGCTCCTAACTTTAAAAATTTAGGCGCATCAGCCAAAATTTAGTCGCACCCACCAATTATAAGCACCGTTACAACAAGTTTTATACAAACAGATTTATTGTATTTGAAATCAACACTAATCAAACTAACAAGCAAAAAATATATATACATATATAAATATGCGTGCGTGAGGAAAATATGTCTCAACGAAATCCCGTGATCACAAGAAAATAGATTTTTATAACAGAACTGAGTGACCAAAGCATACACGGAGCGCTCACCGGCCCTGCAAGCACTGCTTGAATGAATCTGTTAACGGTATAACTGTGCTGTTCTCACAAGTGCTGTCTGATATTGCACTGATGTTTTAACACATACTGTACCTTATTATATGCATACGTCATGTTAATAGCAATACCGGTCTTTTCATGAGTAGCGATATTAATTTACTCAGTGTAAGCCCGTTTGCAATGGTGTACGTGATGTTAAATTTGAAATATAGCTGCCCCTTGCACGGCGGACAGCATCTGCTGATTATATGAAGGATTAAACAGAAGCTCTCGTGCTAGATGTGGCAAACAGTTACCTGAAAACTCCATCCCACAGACTTTTTATAGCGGACTTGAAGCCAACAGAAGTCTTCTACTCTTGGAAAAGTGTAGATGGTGGATCAACATTCAGCACATGATCACTAGTAAGATGTGTCATTATTTGCAACTAGATGGTTTCTAAAACTAAATCTGTCCGCGTTATCTTCAATCTCATCTTCAGCGCTTTAGTTTTTCGCTGTAGTAGCTCTCTGTCATCCGAAGCCAGAAGGCGCTGACTGAGTGATTGACAGCTGATATTAACCAATCATTCGCGTTCAGTGCTAGAGCAGTGGGCCAATAAGAAGAGCGCGAAGCCGGAGCAAGCATTACGGACTTGGATTTATTTACTGCAGCAAGATGACATGACAACTGTTTTAAACCATTCCTGAGCGCTGCGTTTCTTGTTCCAAGTGCAAACAAAGAGCTTAGAGATGCATTCTGCGTGAATGTCTCCCGAATCCGCGCATGTGGTGAACATTTTGCAGTAAAAACTGGTCGCACACAACAATTTTAAGCACTTGCAGAAATGCTCCCAAATATATTTTAAGGTCGCATAGATAAAATTTCGGGCGCATATGCGACCAAAATGGTCGCAATTTCGAGCCCTGTATTTGTGTATATCATCTATATAAATGCTAATAATTTGACATGATTTCTCACAGTTGTATAAGAATACAATAAGTATAATAGAATCATATAGCTGTATAGCAAAAACAAAGCTTCAACTATATTTTGGCCCAAAAACAATGATGGTCACACCTTACAAGGTTACATTAGTTAATGTTAGTTAATTTATTACTCCAATGACTGATACTAGTACAGCATTTATTATCATTGGTCAGCATTTACTCATGCATCATAAAAATCTAATTGTGCTTGCCAACATTAGTTAATGCACTGATTTAACAAGAACATGGAACAACTTTAATTTCTTTAACTAATGTTTGCACAGATGTTTTAATATTCTAATAAATGTATTGTTAATTTTAAGTTCATGCCAGAAAAAATCATGTTAATATATGCATTAAGTTACTTTAATCACTGAATTTTATTGTAAAGTGTGAAATATTGTGTTCAAAGATGAACTCACCAGATGGTTCTGCTGTGCTATGGGACTCAGCTGGTTTTGAGCTGTAAAACAGTGTCGGAAATGAAATAATTGCACAGTATACACTAGAAATTAAATACATTTATAATCAAGGACACAAAACCATACTTACAAATACATTTGTTCGTTTCTGCAATTTTTTTGATAAGTTCTTCAGCCTGCTCCCGGTTATTTGGATCTCCATTGTTGTTAAAAACCAGATACTGATTGTTCAGTCTGTGGACTAATGCGCTGAGCTCTTCTGAGTCCTCCATGTACTGTTCAATGGTGAGTTCATTGCTTTCCAGTTCATCATCTTTAGTGAAGATAATAAAGGTGTTCTGCAAATTACTGCTCCCTAAAAAACTCAAAACTAAATCAGTAGCTTTCTTCTCTTGTTCTGCAAATCTGTCAGTGCTGATCACCAACAGAAACACAGTGGGGGCTGAAGAATTTAACTGCAGAAGCTTCTGGCATTTTCGCTCAATCTGTCCACTCTGAACCCCAGGACCTAAAAACCCAGGGGTGTCATAAACATCCACACTGAGGCCACTAACAGTCACAGAGGCTCTTTGAATATCTCGTGTTACTGCATTTAAACTTTTTTTTGAATGAAATATTCTTTGTCCCAGGATTGTATTTCCTGTGCAGCTCTTTCCTGCTCCAACCTGTCCGAGCAGGACCAAATTACAATGTGGAGGTGAAGATCCACTCTGCATGTTCTTATTCAGTTCAGATCACCTTAAAGAGACAACAGGTAAAACTCTTTAAAAACAACAACACACTGATCACCTTAAAATTTCTGTAGCAAAACAAACTTTGTATAATGTGGTTTAGTTTTTTTTTTATATAACAGTATGTACATAACATATTTACAAACTCATTTTATTCCATTAATAAATGTACTTCTGGACAACACACATGAAAAATATTTTGTTTATTATTCAAAACATCAATATAAGTATACTCTTTGAAGCTGTAGTGTACTTTTTACAATATGAAAAAGTGTATTATATGGTGTACTACACAAATTTGTTACAGAATTCGTTATAAACTACATGTAACTGAAAAAAAAGTGTGCAAATAACTAATACATACCGTATCTACTGTGAGATATTTCCGTGATATGTGTAATAAACCTTTGATGCATCAGCGATCAAATGCCAGTATTTGTGTATATTTGCTTTCACTTCCTTGTACGCAGTACAAATAAAAGGTTGTGTGACGCAGAGAAGGGTTGGGCTACAGGCAGGTCATAGACTGTAGAGGCAGACACAACCCCCAAGTGATAGCCTATTCACAGGGAGAATTTAGACTTTAGCCTACCTCCTAATAATAATTTATAAAATAAAATAATAATAACAATAATAAGAATACCAACAACTGCAAGACATTTCCTGCTAGATTCTTTCACAGATTCTATAGAGTACGCAATCTCTCAAAGGATTGAATGTGATTAACAGCATATTTATTTTGTTTAGAGAGCCGAAACCATATTTGGTGTAAACATTTTAATTCTTTTGTTTAGTGTGCCACTGCAGATTTTGTAAGCAGCACATAGGCTAAATCTTAATTTTTAATGTGCTAATGGACATATCAAATTAATACAAATATGAAATATTTTGAGTGCTCAAAAAAGCACTATGAATAATGTTTTAGTTGACCTCCTCACGGCACTATATCTGAAGGGTATTGCACAAACGTAAAATAAGGAATTAACGTCTATTTTTTTCTCTAATCATTCAAGTTTTTTTCCCTCTTACCTTTCCCCTATATATATATATATAGGGGAAAGGTAAGAGGGAAAAAAACTTGAATGATTAGAGAAAAAAATAGACATATACAGTGCTCAGCATAAATGAGCACAACCCCTTTTAAACATGAATATGTTTCTATTTCTTAGTGAGTATAGGCAGTAATTTGGTGCATTTAAACAAAACAGTTTAACATTTGTTGGATATAGAAGTTTAAATAAAGGTATTTATGTATAAAAGGTTATCACATTTAAATTCAAATTATGCATTTAAAATATAAAACAATTAAAAATTGTCAACAATGGTGATGATGAAGGAGCGAGGCAGTGGCGCAGTAGGTGGTGCTGTCGCCTCACAGCAAGAAGGTTCATTCCGCTGTGGCGACCCTGGATTAATAAAGGGACTAAGCCGACAAGAAAATTAATGATTGAAACATCATATATAAATAGATTCAAATAGAAAAAAGTCCTAAATTAAAGCAGTAAATTATCACATAACAAATTATCAATCATATAAATATTTAAAAAACTAGATAAAATAAACTAAAGTACTGTGAACCTACACTAATCTCACGGTTCGGTTCGGTTACGATTATCATGCCATCGATTCGGTTTAATTTGATATTTCAGTGCATCACGGTGCATTGACGATGCTTTTCATACACAGTTTTATATTTTCTTGACAGCAGAATTCTTGAATTAAAATGTATGAATATATTTATATACTATTTGTAATACAATTTTGTCATTTATAACAAACAGTCAGAAATATAAACTTTACCCTTAAACAACACGAGCATTTAGCAAATAATGTAAACAAATATAAATATCCTGCTCGCTTTCTGATCCTTGTCTAGTTATCTTGCGCTCCTTTGAGAGAGAGAGAAATGGAGTAACGTTACTTTCATTCTTTCAATCGCAGTGAAATAGGGGCTTTTGATGTTAATATCAGTGAAAGACTGATCCAGCAAACACACACAGTGAAATTGTGCACAGTTTTTGAGTTTTAAGTAGTTGGAGCGTTGAAAATACTCGCGCTCGCCTCCCTCGCGACAGAGTGCATATGAGGTAATGACGTCAGTAATAACCGGTTATGATTATTACTTAACCGATACCGAATTGTTCGCGTCTGCATCGCGGTGACAAGAACAAACGATTAATTTTGACACCCCTATGAATTACCATATAAAATGGATGTGCAATATTGGGTGCTTGCAATAATCTTGTAACCTGGGAAAGTGACACTGACAACAGAGTGCGGATCCAAACGCAGGTTTATTAGGAAAATCAGGTAAACAATGGTCAACACAGGCAAACAGATGTATGCGGGCAATCCAGAAACATTGTCAAAGAAACAAGCGACTGGTCAGAAGGCAGGCGGCAGACAGGGACAAATAGATAAACTAGGTGAGGATTAAAGCACAGCAAAAGCAAGAAAAAGGAAATCCGTTGTAATGTCACTTATAAGATAACAAGACTCAGCCATGATGTGTGTGTGTATTTGTGCTGTCTTTATAGACCTGGTAATGCCCTCATGAGCGGCTTTAGCTGAGACTAGGGATGTAACGGTATTGTAAATACCGTCATACCGCAATATTAATTTTTTTCGATATTACCGTAGTCGCATGACTCGAATAGCGGTGTTGTCGCGCGAGTTCTTATCAGCTGTGTTGTCGCGCGCGTACTGAATAGCGGTTTTGTCACACGAGTTCTTATCAGCTGTGTTGTCGCGCAAGTTCTTATCAGCTGTGTTGTCGCGCAAGTTCTTATCAGCTGTGTTGTCGCGCGCGTACTGAATAGCGGTGTTGTCAGCACACTGTTCAGATTGATGCAGACATGAGACCTCTATCTCACTCATGGTTTGTCCTCTCAAGTGGGGGAAAGACAATGCACAACGTTACACACTGCTGTCAACCTGGGCCAAGTCATATCTCTCTTGTCCCAGAAACCTCAGTCCCAAATGAGAGGGTTTTTTTCTGTTGCAGGGGACATTTTAAATACCCAGAGATACCAGCTTTTACCAGATTATATCTATATCTTTTTTGGAGTATTTTCATAAGTTTTGTTTTTTCCTGTAAATGATTCAATAAATACCGTACCGTGACATTCATACCGAGGTATTACCATACCGTGAAATTCTGATACCGTTACATCCCTAGCTGAGACTATCTAATCAGTGGAGACTTGGAACAATTGTGTGTGTGTGTGTGTGTTGCATGACTAAATATGTCCACATTAAATGGCGGATTTGTAGTTTGTGTAAATGTATTCCAGCGATCTATGGAGGTTAGATTGCTGGCGATCGTCACAAATCTTCATGAAAAGTCATCAGCTCTGAGTAGCTTGAATGCCCACTAATCACATTAAAGTCAAAGTGAAGGATTTCATTTGTCATTTGTTACGCATCCTCATATGTTTCTGTTATGTCTCTGAATGACAATAATGGGAGTTCTCTGATTAATGAGCGAGAGAAGCCTTTTTCAACCTGATACATGATGATTTTCCAAAAATGCTCCAACAGTATATGTAAGAGCAATTACATTTGTTGTGATTTCAACGACTGGATGGAGTGTGGGTCGGAATAAGGAAATAGATTAAAAAAAAATAAGAAAGGGCAGGTGTGCACTCAGGGGGACCATTTTGTGACCATGTTGAAAAATAATGTGGTAATATCCAATGTGATTTACTCTATGTGTGAATGGTGTAGCAAAACTGTGAGTTGGAAATGTACTGTATAAATAGAGATATACACCTGATAAAACAATAGTCTTAGAGGATGGTCTTTGTGATGGCCAGTGTGGTGGCCACACATTGAGAGTGAGGCATGCACGCAACCATACATACACATACACACACACACATTTGTTTGCCAGAAGTCTTCTCAGAATACCCTGGCTTTACCACCTTGATTGAACATAATATTGAGTTGAAACCCGATGCTGTAGTTCGAAGAATGAGTTACAGGGTCCCTGAACGTCTCCAAGAAGCGCTGAAAGAGGAGGTGGATCTGATGCTGAGGCTGGGAATTATAGAACCCTCTAAAAGCGAATAGTGCCACCCTGTGGTCCTTGTTCCGAAAAAGGATGGGTCTATAAGGTTTTGTATAGACTTTCGTTACCTCAACTCCGTGACCAAGTTTGATGCTTACCCTACTCCACGAAGGCACCTCAAAGTTTCTAGTCACCTCAAAGTTTGATCTTTCAAAAGGTTATTGGCAGATTCCGTTGACTCCACAGTCCAGATAACTCACTGCGTTTAAAACACCCTGGGGCCTATTCCATTTTAAGGTTCTAGCCTTTGGACTGCATGGGGCACCGGCCAGCTTCCAAAGACTAATGGACCAGGTACTGCGAGGACTACCATTTACAGCTGCTTATCTGGATGATGTTGTGGTGTACAGTGACACATGGCAGCAACATCTGCAGCATCTCCAGGAAGTTCTGCAACGCCTTCAGGCAGCCGGCCTGACAGTTAACCCTCAAAAGTGTACCATTGCAAAGGCAGAGACGGAGTACTTGGGGTTTGTTATCGGTAAAGGGGTGCTCCAACCCCAGGTGGAGAAGGTACGGGCCATTGAAAAGTGTCCACAGCCACAAACTCGTAAGGAGTTAAGGTCCTTTTTGGGTATGGCTGGGTTTTATCACAGATTTATTCCCAACTTTTCTGGGCGGGCTGCAGTATTGACTGACATGGTTGGTTCAAGGAGTCCCAATCATCTGAAGTGGACCCAAGAAACTGTTGCAGCTTTCCAAGATCTCAGAAAGGCCTTGAGTAAAGATTCTGTCTTGCATAACCCTGATTTCCACCAACCCTTTGTTTTGCAAACTGATGCTTCAGATCGAGGCCTGGGAGCTGTATTGCTACAGGGCAGCCCTGACACTCGACGCCCAGTGGCCTTCCTGAGTCGAAAGCTCTTCCCCAGGGAAGTTCGCTATTCTATTGTGGAAAAGGAATGCTTGGCTGTGAAGTGGGCCTTGGACTCTTTGAAGTATTATCTGCTAGGCCGGGAGTTTATACTGGAGACTGATCATAAAGCTCTACAATGGCTTCAAGAAATGAAAGATACCAACAGTCATATTACCCGCTGGTACCTGGCCATGCAGCCCTTCCGGTTTATTATCAGACATGTCCCTGGCAAAGAAAACCTTACGGCTGACTACTTGTCCCGATGTGCCAGTGACATTCCCGAAGGGAGGGAGTATGTGATGGCCAGTGTGGTGGCCAGAGTGAGGCATGCACGCAACCATACATACACACACACACACACACACACACACACACACACACACACACACACACGTTATACATATTCATTTAAGATTATTTATTGGTCACAATTTCAGTTATTGTGTTTATACATTTTTGTTTCATTCATATCTGATTTAAATAAGACGCATACACTTTTTCAGTTACTCATTACCTTTATTATTCACAGTACATTTATTACTATTTTGGGTGCACACAAAATCAGTTATCTGTACTGTATGTTTTGTTAATTTAGTTTTCTTTTGAGTTTAAGTTACCGTGCTGCAGTGCCGACGAGGAACAGAGTTTCCGGGTGTGGTCCGCCCAAGTAAAGGTCCGACGTGCCGCAAGAGGCCGTCTTTTGGTTCTGCCTGCCGATACCATTGGCTTAATGGCTTGGAGGGAGAGCTCATGTTTAGTTTAGGTTCAATAATGATTTACAATGTTTGTTTATTCAGATTTATATTTAGTTTTGCCTTTATTTATAATTTATTTAACTTATATTTAGATTTGTATTTAGATGTTTGGCTTAGTTTATTGTATTTGTAAATTGTATGTTTTTGTCTCCCCCTTCTTGTTTAATGTGGACTAGTCCCTGTGCTATAAATGTGGTCTGTCTTGTCATTTAATGGAGTTCTGTTTTTGGTTTAGACATGATTTGTTTGGTTTGAACTCAGTTTGTTTTCCTTGTTTAGTTTATTGTTCTTTCAATTGATTTAATTATTTAATTAATTTATTTTTGAACTTTTTGTAAACCTTTTTGACTTTATTAAAAATAATTATTTTTGAAAATCTTCTTTGTATGCCTCTTACTGTACGTGCTGGCTCGGTCCCTCACAGTCTTGTAGCTTTGAACACATGTACTAGAAAGTACCATACAACAAGCTATTCTCCCCACTATAGTAGATTTACATTTAGCTGATTTCATATAATCTGTGTTAATGTCATCAGTATTTAGGCCTTCAGTTACACATCAGTTCATATACACATATTTTCTTTTTGAATTTGAAAAAATAATTATTTTTAAACTGCAACAGATTACAAGAAAATATCTTCTTAGTATTTAGAATCAACTATACAACACCTCAGACACGGAGCTTTTGTAGTTTTTTGCTGATTTCTCGGATGTTTTCATCCACTTGAGTCTCTTCCACCTCCTGTCTCACATTCCTGCATTTCTGCTTATAAAAGCGCTTAAACTCTTTAAACTGCCTGTCCTTTTTTTTCACTAACTCATTTAACTCTTTAATTTTCTGCTCTTTTTCTTGGCCAGATTCTTTCATCTGTCTGATCGTCTCCTCTAGTTCTGTCTTCTCCTCATGAAATCTGTCTGTTAACTCTAATATCTTCTGATCATACAGCTTTCTGAACTCTTCTTCTTTGTCCTTCAGCATTTTCTCCACATGCTGAAACATGTCACTGGTGTAATATTTATCCTCATTCATGCGCAGCATCTCATCAACCTTATCCAGAAACTCTAAAACCTGTTTGCGATTGTGAACTTTAGTGTTGTCGAACACATGATATCGTCCTCCACATGACTCTACAAGCTCTTTTAAATCACGTCGAGCTTCTTTAAGTGTTATTTCAATGTCCTCAGTCAGTTCATCTCCATGTGTGAAGAGGATGATAGTGTGTTTATCTGCTGCTTCTCCAAACACCGCTCTGATTTTCTCCACTGAGAGTTTCTCTTCTTCAGTGAATGGACCCAGTTTAATGACCAGGATGATGGCGTGAGGTCCAGGAGCCGTCATATTAATGCATTTACTCATCTCTCGTATGGTTTCAGCCTCTGATACAGTGGTGTCAAAGATGCCTGGACAATCTACCAGCACCAGCTGATGCTTGTCCACTTCTCCGGTCTCCTTCCAGCACTCTTTGGTCACAGATGAAGCACTTTTCGCGGCTCTAAAGGCTTTTCTGCCCAGGATTGTGTTTCCAGAAGAGCTTTTACCTGCTCCTGTCCTCCCCACCAGAACCATTCGTCTCAAGGACACTGAAGAATAAAGATATAAAATAATATAATAAATATGAAAGGAGTAAATAAATCAGAATAGTTCACTGATTAAAAAATAAATACGACTCTTCATGAATGTTCACCTTAAGTTAAATTCAGATTAAATGAGTCAAACATCAAAATACACCCTGTGTTGACATACTTACTACTGGGAGGCTGAAATTCAAAACTTCCACTTTTTTTTCTTGTCTGAACATCACCAGGATCTTTAAAAAAAATGTTGAAATGATTATAATAAATACCAAGATATATTGTTTTTTAAGACATTATTACGACTCAAATTAAACACCACAATATTACACATTTATAAATGCACCACACATGAAAAGTATTTTTTTTTACTAAACACTATAGTGTTTTTGAACCATCCTATAGTACTGTGTATTATACTATGTCTATTATAGAGCAATTCCAGTGTTATGGATGTGACATTTCCAGTAAAAACTCAAAACAAAAACACACAGAGAAAGTATATGTTAACATTATACTGAAACAAACCTCTGTTTATATTTCCTAAAACAACTAAGCATAGAGTTATGGGGTCAGGAGAAGATCAATCTGTGAACATCTTCAAGATTTTAAATGAGGAAAATAACAGCATATATACAGGAATCAAAGAATAAATTCATAACTTTTTAAGACCTTTTTTAAGACTCTTTCCATACATTTTAAGACCTTATAACTACTTTTCAACCAGAAACACTGGCGATATTGGCGATAATTACTAAACATTAATGTAAGAAATTAATCCAAAACTTAAACATAATTCGTATGCTAAATAAAAATCTAATAAATCTAGCTAATTCTGCAGGATGGCGCCTGTAGAACTGCAGAAACAATGGTGCTTCCTTGATAACTGCAGTAAACAAAGCAGCATGATGTCAAATCTAGTAGGATATCACTGATTTCATAAACTACACAGCATCCTGATATTTACAGATTTACCATACTTTAACATACAACCATACATTGCATAATCAAAAATGATATAAAATTTAATACCTTGCAAAATAGCATTTAAGAGTTATTAACACTTTTTAAGGGCCTTAAATGTCTCTACATTGATTTATCAACTTTTAATACTTTTTGAGAGCCCCGCGGACACCCTGAATAAACAGGCGTTATGGAAGTGACCCAGTGTTGGGCGGTATCCAAAATTTTTTGATCGCCATATCGCCCCACTTTGAGATCGTCAATACACTATGCTATCGCATGGGGGCAAGGCAGTGTTATATTTATTTATATAAAATTTATTATTATATTTAAGCATATCTAAACATATTTAATAGCCTTTCGGCTGATTTTTTAAACTCATTATTCCAGACCAAACGCAATGCAAATCAGGGCCGGAGTGGGACTCCTTTTCAGCCCTGGAGTTTCAAGCATTAAACCGGCTCAACGTCATTTTCAATTCAGTTTTTAATTACACTATCCAGTCTTTTTCAAGAAAACAGCTGCTTTAGAACTTCAACTGTTCAACCACCTTGCAGTTTTATATGTCTTAACAATAAAAATGAAAACAAAAAAAGTACTCAGGTAAGGATCAAACTCGGGTCGACGACGTCAAAACGCAAAGTGCTGACCACTGGACCACAATAGCGCTATTGCTCATAAGGGGCTGGAATGATACCTCATCATTACCCTGCAGGCTGCATTTTGCTCATGGGGCTGCGAGACAATAAATAAGAAGAGCGGAGCTGCATCAAATTATTGAATAAAAAGAGTGAGGCTATGCTCAAATAAATAAATGAAAAAAAGTGCGACTGCTTAGAGTGCAAGCAGCAAGAAACACCGGCCCACGCGGCCAAAAAACGGACCGGCCCTCCGGGAACTCTCCCAGTCCTCCCGATTGGCCAATCCGGGAATGATGCAAATGCAGTAGGTTATTAAATAATTCAAACTAATGCAAATCACCACACTCTTACAGCTAAATAGGTGCTGAGACCAAAATTATTTCAAATAAGACGATGCAACAGTGCGGTGCAGGACAGGATTTGATTGGGACTCATGTCGTTATTTGCGGCCCACAGGACTGTCGCAAAATGGATATAAATACATGGATGAAAGCAAATGAAATGATATTTATCTATGTATGCATGGCACGGAACAAACAAGGATGCATTAAGGTCCTTTCAGACGGGAGGCAGATGGAGGACTCGCCGCCCGCACATGACTGCGGTGAAGTTTTTCATGTTTTTGTTCAGTTAAGCGGAGCGGCTTTAGGTCAAATCATCACAAAAATGATCATTAACAGTGTCACATTTATATTTGATAAAATCTAACACAATGTTGCGCTTGGCATATGTGTTAATTGCTTTTCTAATAAGAGATTAATTTTGGATGCAGAGAGTCGGCAATAGCCTATTGTATTAAACATCCTATTTGACCTACATACAAAACTTTTCACTGAGCTTAGTAAAATGTTCTTTGATAACTTATTAATAATCTGTTCAATACTTTGTTAAAGCCAAAACGAATGGTAAAATTAAGGTTGTAATTTAATTCAATATAGGCTAGTTTAAATAAATAAATAATATATAGCTTATTTTAATAGCCTATAAATAAACATAGCTCTAACATATTTTTTTTATTAAAGAAATTGGTTATTTTCTGAAAAATGCACAAGTCCGTGTTTATCATTCGATCGAATAAAACACAAGACAATATTCTGTGTGTATTCCGTGTATTTGAGGGAGCAGTCAATGCATGTACTGAAAAAATAGGCTATAGGTCCCCTTAAAACTTAAATAGGCTATTACTAATGGATATAAAAGATAAATCAATTTTTTTTTTTTTTTTTGTGAAAGCAAGAGAGAACCTTCCGGTAGTACTATTATAAATGAGTCTCAAATAACAAACAATTGTTTATTAAATTACCACAACACATTTTATTCCAGAACACTTGAGGTGGTTTCAGTTCATAGTTCTTTCATTCTCCTCTTCAGTTGTTTTATTTTTAAAAATCGTTTTATTTAACTTGTTTGTTAATAAAATCCAGTTTTGTTATTTAGCCTATTATTTTTATGCAACAAAAGTTAAAAAACTTATTTGCTATGAGAGGTGGCTGTGCCCTCACATGCAGCTTTAACTTCAACTGCTGCTGAGAGAAAGAGATAGCGCAAGAAAGCCGAAAGTGTCGGTCAAGTGATGTTGATGTAAACAGCTGAAGCAGTCACATGTCTTGTAGTTCATTTATTAATAATGATAATGATTAATAATAGAAATACTGTTAATATTATTCAATAATGCTATTAAAACATGTATTGGTCTACATTAATCTGAAACGAGCTAAATATCATGTCTTTTAAATCGTCATAGGTCTCAGCTCTCGGCGATATCTTTCCCTATCGTCGATACATGATACTATCGTCTATTGGCACAACCCTAATGTGACATAAAAAGTCTGTGATTTTACAGAATACAACATACTTTGTATAAATTCTGTGAATTAAACTGCACAAGCCAACAGAAATAAAAAATATATAAATCAAATATAATAGTTTAAAAACATTGACAGAGACAAGTTTGAGTATGTTTATAGTACTGTAAAACACATTCTCTGAAGGAAACATGTTAGGGGTAAAATACCTCGCCCTGAAAGTAACGAAAAAAGAAAAGTTTCCCAAGATTCCGTTTTGGAAAAGTACAATATTTTGATGCCTTCTGATTAATTAGACATGCTCATTTCTCATTCTCAAATTATTTCAGCACAAAAAGTGGACCCATCTTTACGCAAGTGCATCTGCTCTTAACTTTAATGCTGCTAAAAAAGAGACACTGCATATTTTGTAGATGATGGCTTATTAATGCAATCTAAACTGGAAGAAAATGTGGACTGGATGTTATATCAAGTGGTAGTTGTAAATAAATATAGTTCTTTGGTATTATATTTGGCACATGAACACTTAGGGCCCTATCATACACCCAGCCCAATGCGAGGCAAAAGTTGTTTGCTAGTTTCAGCTTTGTGCAAGAGTCGTTTTGACGTTTGGCAGCACGTTGTTTGAATAGCAAATGCATTTGTGCTCATATGTTCGCCCATAGACGTTCTGGTCTAATAAAGGAAGCGTGTTGAGGCACATTGCTGGAGTGTTGCTATTTTGAGGAACATAATAGTCTGTTCAATAGACTAGATCAAAGCAGGTTTATAGTCCAGCGCAGAGCGCGTTAGTTGTGCGCTTCACTTACACACTGCTTAATACACACAAGATGTAGAGCAGGGTTGTCAAACTCAATTCCTGGAGGGCCGAAGCCCTGCACAGTTTAGTTCCAACCCTGCTCCAACACACTTACCTGTAGGTTTCAAACAAGCCTGAAGGACTCAATTAGTGCAATCAGGTGTGTTTAATTAGGGTTGGAACTAAACTGTGCAGAGCTGCGGCCCTCCAGGAACTGAGTTTGACACCTGTTATGTAGAGCAATACACAAATATCTTTACAAATGAAAAAAAAAATTAAAGGATTAAAATGTTATAAACATTATTATTTTCTAGCCTACATCAGTATAAACAGCACTGCCTTCATGCTTTCTTAATCTCGGGAGGCTTTTTCAGTTTATTCATAACAATTTGCTTTTGTATAATGTTATTATTATTAGCAGTTTTATTTATTATATCCATATTCATATTTGTTTTATTAAAAACAAGCTTAGATTTGTCCAACTGTCAGGTTTTAGACCATATGGGGCACAGCATGTGTATTAATATAACTCAGGTTTTTGATCACACTTCGTTATTGTTGTTTATTTATTCTTTGCGATTGAACAAAATTAATTATGTATAGAATAATGGATTCGCACAACACGTTTCCTTATGCAGGAAAGTGAAAGTAAAGTATGAGGAGGCTCAATTCTCATTCTCGCGCGGTAGATGCTCTGTTTAACTGTTAGATGCTCTGTTTAACTGTTAGATGCTCTGTTTAACTGCATCTAGTGAAATGTTCAGTTTTTCCACTTACAAAGTCCGCCGTGTAAATAGGAAATGCATGCGACGTTCCTGACGATGATGCAGCTGACTCTTAAAGGTAATGGTAGATGAGACTCTGATTGGTTTATTCTCAAAACACACCCATAACTCATTAAGAGAATAATCTCAATCCTGTTAGACCATGCGCCATAGCGCAGAGCGGATTTTTACATCCTTATATTAGCAAAAGTGGATTCTGACACGCCCTTAATGCTTTTGCGCCCTGCGCTTTGGACTTTACGCATGGATTGTCAGGTCATTTAGGCGTAGTTAAAAAACATCATCGCATTCTCCAGCATTTCTTTTGGCCAGGATCAAAGCGTCATGTAGTTAAATTTTGTCACACGTGTCATACGTGTCAAATTACTGGAAAGCCAATTTAAATAATTCCACTTGCTCCACTTCCACCATCCCTATTATAGGCAGAACATTTGTGGAGGTACAGGTGGATTGCGAAGGACTTTTACCGAAGACAAAAACAGGTAACCAGTATCTGTGTACTATAATGTACAGAGCAACCCATTTTCCCAAGGCTATCCTATTGCGTTGAATAATGGCTCCTATTATTTTGAAATCTCAGATTATGTTTTTTTTTTTTTTTTTTTTTTTTACATCTTTTGTCTACTGAAAGTTATCCAAACAGACCAAGGGAAAAATTTCCTATTGCCTTTATCTATAGAATATTGAGTTTCTAGCGCATACCAACCAGAGAGTCATGGAGCAATTAAAAGACTCCAAATCCTGAAATCTCTCCGCAAAGGTAGATACGACGTCTCGGACGTTAAAGGTTTAATTTTTGTTTTATTTTGTAGTTCTAGGGGAAGAGTTTTATGGCTTGGTTAGTTGATTATTGTTTTATTTTTCTCTTTTGTTTGGCACAGTCTCTTCCCTTTGTCCTCCTTATGTCTGTTAAACTTAGTTAATTTTTTGTGAAATCATCTTATTTTTGTCTACTTTTGTGTGAAACTTTATTTTTCCATAGATATTTAAATATCCACAGCTTTTTTAAAACAAACAAGTTCATTTCAATAGTACTTTCATGTCTTGTTGTTCCTCATCTATTGTATATGGCAGCAATAATTACAACTGGCTCAGTATTTTCCTTTTCGTTCCCCTTGACCACTAAAAAGTAATGGAAAGGGATGTAACAAAAATAAATAAAATAAAACTAAAAAGAGTTTTGCTATTTTGGTGAAAACTTTATTTTCTTAGGTTGACATTAGCCTGAAATTGCTCTATATTATTTGCAACAGTTGGATACAGCATTGAAGTGTGCTGCATTCATTGTCAAACTAATAAATAAAGTACAAGCCTATACTTTAGTTTCTACAACAACAAACTGGTATATTGTAGTATAAAATTACCAGTTGTGGAAACTTAGCACAGTATTGGGTCATATTTGTATATTACTATTGTTGTGTTACCACAGTAACTATAAAAATACCAAAATATTTACAAAAATACATGCACGCATACAGAGACACTTTAAAACTGACTACACTGTAAATCACAACATGACGAAACTGCATTAAAAAACAACCATAAAACGAAAGTATCTTAAAACAAACATCGTTAGAAACGTCGAGGCAACAAAAGAGCAGATTTAAGTCAAATATTTGGAGAGTACACTGATATAATTGTTACCTTTTGGATCTGCCGTGGTTACACCTGATGAAGACATAACTCAGATTTGTTGTTGATTACAGGAACATTCACGCAGGTAACGTTAATGGCGGACCTCCTCGATGAAGGCGGACATATCATGTGACAGGAACAAAAGTCACATTACTCTTCTGCTTAAAATTATGAACGTCAGAAAAAAAATACAGGCTTCTAATGTTCATAAATGAAGCCGGGAAAGGCAAAGATGCTCCACATTAAGATACCGTAAATGGCAGTTTTTACCTTGTAAGCAATAAGAATGGCTGCAGTTGTGGTATTTCAGAGATATTTAATGTTGATGTGATGATGCCCTCTGCTGGAAAACAACTGTAACTTCAGGCTGTAAATAAAAAGCTCGATGCAAAAAACATTATTGAAGCGGATTTTCGACATAACATGGGAAAATTGGTTAAAAAAAGTCTAAATTATGATATTCTTAAGCTGTAATTATACGTCTTTAAATAATCGTAATAATAATAATCAACTGTAAATGATTAGCAGGCCAACACCTGGAACTAAACAAAATGGAACTAAACTAAAAGTTTGCAAAATAACCAGTCAATTAAAAGTAAGTTGTTTGTCAAGTGTCTGTCACGTGACGTTGCGGTATCGCTGGTGTTTCTGATAATGACGTCACTGCGCCCCCTCCTGGAAACAAACAGCGGAAGCGCTTGTTTCAAAAGTGAAAGTGAAAGAAAAGCTGCAGAAGATGCACCAAGTTTAAATAATAAAAATGTAATTAGTTTAATTCTCTATTGTCCCTGCATGATTTAAAGTAGAAATCTGTAATTAAATGTAATGTGTAATTAATAACTCGGTTTTTAAAGTAAATCACAGTACCTATATATTGGCCATGGTTTGACTGTAACTACAAATATAACTATTTCGAATTAGCACATAATAAAGCATCTGAACTTTACTTTACTTCCAGTAGTTGTTACCCAATTTATGCCTGATAAGCACAGATGTACTCTAGCTTTAAAGTAATCATGAATGGCTTCTACAAAACCTTTTTCTCCATATAAGATTTGTGTATTATTGTTAGGTAGTTGGGTTTAAAAAAACATTGGTATTTTTTATTAATTTTATGAATCAAATTTGTTTAACTATTGATCATTATAAATGAGTTTTATATGTGTTTACCTTCCATGAAATTAATTAAAATAAGCACACTAAACAAAGAAAGGAGGAATGTATATGTATCGTTCAGTGTTTTAGTTTTTTTTATTTATTAGTCCCCAAACTCCAAAGTTATTCAATGAAAAACTTCTGTTGCCAAATTAACAGTTTCTTTTCTTTAAGCGCAGAAGATATGCTGCAGATAGTCAGACAAAACAAAGAGGCTTGAGTTTTCAAACCATTTACAGATAAATGTGAGAAGGATTAAGGGTTTTTATTTATTTATTTAATCTTATGTTAGATTTATTTCAATTAGAGATTTTTTCCTCACCAAGATAATCTTGTCTTCCAGCAGGTCATTTGAACCATTGTCTTTAAAGTTTTAACCCAGAATTTCTCATAACAGAATTAAACAGAAGAAGGAATTAATGGGTTTTTGAACAGACGAGGCTTGGTTAAACTCAAAGTACACACAAAAAAAAAAAAAAAAAAAATGATGACATGAGTAGTATTATAAAATAAACCTTATTTAAAATTGAGTTTGTATGTCATTCCTGCTATTTAGTTTGCATATATATTTGTTTATTGCTGCTTCCTTTTTATTTATTTGTCTATATTTGAAAAATCAACTTATTTAGGTTTTATTTGTATTAAAAAAATGTGCTGGTTTATGAACAGAAGGTCAAACTAGATTGAATATATCTAGTTTTCCCTCATCATTTTGTGTTGTTCTCAGGTTCTCAAAAAAAAAAAAAAAAAAAACAGTTATAAAAAGTATAAAGGTGATTTGACTTGACTTGGTGCATATACCTTTTATCCTGCCAATAATTAAAAGTGTAATATTTATTTATTTATAGTTTTTTTAAACAGAAAAAGATTAAAAGATAATCGACCCGACTCAGCATGAATGCTGTTGTTCAGCAGGTTTCTGCTCTGCTGAACATAAAAACATCAGACAGACATCGCATCTATCAACACAGTACTAACAATTTACTCTTAGATGTGATGCTATGGTGCAGATGTTTAATAATGGCAAACAAAGTGCATTTTTACTTAGAGTTACTAACTTATTCCAAAAGCAAATGGACAAATTAAGACAAAAATGTATCAAAAGTGCGTCTGCTAAATGACAATGCAAATAAACAATAATTCTTAAAAAAAAGATGATTTTCAAGACGAGAAAATGTTTAGCTTTCACAAATAGCAAGTAGAAATAGTTTTTCCCGTAGCCCACTGGCAGATTATTTTGCATGTTTTACGTGATAGGATATACGATAACAGGACATTCATTTTTTCGGCTCAGTCTCATTATTAATCAGGGATCTCTGCAGCGGAATGAACCGCCAACTTATCCAGCATATGTTTTACGCAGCGGATGCCCTTCCAGATGCAACCCATCACTGGGAAAACACCTGTAGGAGCCATACATTGTATTTTGGCTATTGGCCACAAGGTGTCAGTACGACACTATATAACTGTGGCTTCACTGCATGGAGGAAGACAGTGTTGGTAGGAAGCACACAGTTTTTGACCGTATCGTATTGCATCGTCTCGTAACTGAAGGAAACAGAGAAGTGTGCTTTTAGATAAAGGAAAGTGATTGAGTAATTCTGTTGATTGGAAGTTGATTGGACAATAAATATGTTTTTATTTGCATCTATTTGCTTACGAACTCTGACTTTTTACGCGTTAAAAACTTGCTCACTCTACCAACAATAGCGGCATTGGTAAGCCGCTACATAAAAAGTCAAAAACTTTGCTTCGTGGGACAATTGAGACGCCGCTGGAGTGGACAGCAAGGCATGGTGTTTCTACAGACAAGGACAGCGACGTTCGTTTGGATCAAGGCTTCATTTGCTGCACGTGAGGACAGCGTTTCTTCAGCATCTGAGTGAGTTCGTTTGGATCGGCTTTCTTCTGGTTTCCTGCATTAAGGTGAATCTACGCTGCTTCATCTCTTTGCGTATGATAAACAGCACAATAGGTATGTTTGTTGCAACAACATCATCATTATGGCCATATGGAAACTATGTGTGCACACAATAAGGTTTAAAGCGTAAATCCAATGCATTGGTTGCCCATGACTGACTGAACTTTTGTTTTGTGTGTTTATTGGGTTTTACAATTTGCAAAATGGAAAATGAAATCAATTTGAATGTTGAAATGGTGAATGTGACTGATCAAGGTTTAACTTCTGTTGAAAATGAGCCTGAAAGGGAAAAAAGACCAGTTAAATTAACAGCTAAAGCTTTAGTTGAAAAACTAGACACTTTACAGAAGTTAAGAAAAGCAAAGCTAAACAAAGCACAAAAGCTAAAAGAGTCAATTAACAAACTAATGTGTGATGACAATGAATACAAACCTGAGATACGTTTGGTCTTTGAGGATTTTAAGAGGTTGTGTTCAGAGGCAAAAGACACTCATGAGTCACTTTTGGTTATTTTACCGGTTGAAGAGTGTGAAAAACATGATATCTGGTTTAAAGCAAAAATGATATCAAACAATGAGTTTTTGGAACGAACAAATAAATGGTTATCAGATAAACCAGAAGGTCACAAAATATCTGAAGTGGAAAGTCCAGAGAGTGATGTTGGTCCTGGAGATAGTGTGTCAAATGTATCACATGCTACCTCAAAACGCAGTAAATGCAGTGCACGCAGCAGCAGTAGTTCATCCATATCATCTGCCTGTATTCAAGCAGAGGCAGAAAAGGCCGCACTCATGGCACGTGCTGCTGCATTAAAGGCTAAACATGATATTGAAGTTCAGGAGGAAGAACTGAGAAGGAAAAAAGAGCAGTTGGACTTGGATGCTCAAATAGCAGCTTCCACAGCAAGGATCAGTGTGTTGCAGAAATTTGATCAACAAAGTAAATGTTTAAGCAGTTCATCTTCAAAGAAGATTGAAAAGGTTGTGGTCACTGCAAATTATTCTTCTCAAACAACATATTTAAACCCCAATGCAAATGACTATGTCCCAATAAATTCAATGCCACTGGATTTGGATGGATACACTGGTGTTTCTGCATCTCAAGCTGCAATACAGGATCAAAGGATTGGATTGATTGATCATCAAACATCGGAACATGCTAATGGTAACTGTTCTGCTCAAACACAACGTGACTCCATAATTCAGCATGCTACAAATATCTTACCTGCACAGGGTGATCCTTTGCTTGAAATTCTGAAAAAACAGGAGGAATTAACAGCGCATCTTGTTCAACAGCAAGCAAATCCTCGTATTCTACCAAAGAAGGAAATTCCAACATTTGATGGTGACCCATTGCAGTATATTCCATTCATTAGAGCATTTGAGCATGGCAATGAGCAAAAAACAACCAATTTAAAGGATCAGTTGTATTTCCTTGAGCAGTTCACAAAAGGGCAGCCTAAAGATCTTGTTCGCAGTTGCCAATATATGTCTTCAGAAAAGGGCTATGCAATGGCCAAGAAGTTGTTGAAGGAAAATTTTGGTAATGAGTTTAAGGTATCTACAGCCTATATGGAGAAAGCCCTGGGGTGGCCTACTTTAAAGGCTGAAGATGTGCAAGGATTGGAGGCTTATGCTTTGTTTTTGCGTACTTGTTGTAATACAATGGATGAACTCTCATATATGCAAGAACTTAACATGCCTAGCAACATGAAATCAGTTGTATTGAAGCTGCCTTACAAATTGAGGGAGCAATGGAGAGCTAAAGCCTGTCAGATAATGGAGTCTGTTCATGGCAGGCCAAAGTTCTGTGACATTGTTGAATTTATTGAAAAACAGGTTAAAATGGCATCTGATCCTGTTTTTGGTGACATTCAAGACAAGCATGGTGCAGGTAAACTTAAGGTTCAACCACACAAACCCTTTACAAGAAGTAGTTTTGCTACTGACATTTCAACTTCTATTCCAGCGAAGAAGTCCAGTGATGCTTTAGCACAACCAAAATCTTGTCATGTGTCTAAGTCTAATGGAGACTGTTTGTTTTGCAAAAATCAGCATTTATTGGAAAGGTGCTTTGCATTAAAGAAAAGAACACAACGTGACAAGATTGAATTTC